TTTTTCTGAGAGGCACATATCTGGAGAAGTTTTCCCTGCCAAAATGCATCATAGCATACTAACTTAAAAGCTAAAAGAATACATTTGATTTTTAACACATGAATCACAGCTTGATGGTTTGAAACTAAAAGTTGATATTAATTTTACTTTTATATTCTGTAGACATTGCTGCATTTTCTTTTGGCAAGTAGAACTGTAAATAAGTGTGTCTGTGTCTCGATCACAAGTTCTCTTTGGAAACTGATGTAAAAGTTTCTCATTAGCTTTGTACCTGAGCAATTTCACATGACAAAAACTGCACTAGCTCAATACTCAGCGATTTTTTGAGGGTAAGGATTTAAGTGTTTCTTCGGATCAACAACATACTTTCAAAGTACATATTTCACTTTTATTTCTTCTTTTGTCTTTTTCTTTTAAAGACATGCAGTTTATATTTTTGAGGACTCTTTCCTGTTTGAATTCCTCTTTTTATAATCTGCTCTTTCCACAGGGAAAATGAAAACATCCTCTTGTGAACGTGACTGATACAACTTTCAAAGTGCCGATAACTCTTACTTTATTATTATTATTATTATTATTATTATTTTATGTATTTAGTCCAGGGTCTACAGGTTCTCACTACACAGATTGTACTCATAACGATCTTCCTGTTTTCAGCCTCCCAAGAGCTGGGATGACAAGCATGCACCACCACGCCCAGTCTTTACTCCATTATGAAAAATCAATTAGTTCCACTCGCTTTGTATGGACTAAAAATTCCTCAACAATCTTCACTTTCTGATGGAAAACTTAACTGATTTTCAACACTTTAGTCCCCTTAATTTTTCTTTCCTATGCCACTGCCTGATATTTTGTGATCAGATTTTAAACAATCCTCATGACTCAATGAGTAACACTACTTTATCATAGGCTTACAACAACACTTACACAGAATGCCAGTCCTAACCTCACTCATCTGCATGAGTTAGAGATTTGGTGATTTAGTGATAACCGTCCAACCTAGAGACCCACCTTTGCACACGGCTGCCTGAACTGGGGCACTCCATTTTCCAGAAGTGGTACATCTGACTTCCCGCACACCAGATAAGAGGAAGCCTCGGTGGCAGCTTAGCTGACACACCACCCCTGGTCTGGCTGGCAGCCTGCCACAGGTGGGTGGAGACACGATGACACCTTTGGGTTTCTGAAAGATGGTGCAATGGCGCTCTAAAGTTGAGAAATATGAGAATGTTATTTCTATTCCCACATATTAGAAAGGCCAAAGATTCTCTTTACTTTGGAAAGTTATAGTTTTTCTGACTTGAGATTATCACAAATCACTAGGTAACTGTATGACACCGAATATATGATGTATGTGATGTGGGATTTTTTGGTTTGAGTTTTTTTTTTCTTTTTTTGAGATGGGGTCCCATTATGCAGCGCAGTCTGGTTTTGAACTCACTGTGTGGCCCAGGCTGGCCTCTAATCCATGGTGATCTTCATGCTACAGCCTTTTGAGTGCTGGGATTACAGGCACATGCCACCTGGCAGCACAGGCAACACCTAGCTGTATACCGTGTTGCTAAGTAATGCTGAGCTGTACCTCTTCAGTTATCTCTTGCTATTTTTGTAAGTGAATCAGAGTCTTGGAAATACGCCCATGTTTTCATCAACACTACTTTCCATTTTTGTCACTTACTTGGAGCATTCATTTGGTTTTCATAATATTATTGTATGGCATTGGAGTGTAAAATAATAATTTAGATCTTATATTTCATAACTGGAGAGAAATATTCTGCAATAAATTTCTGTTTTATGAGCTTTTGGGTGCTATTTTGAAGAGAGCACGTAATGAGAAAAGTTTTCATACCCTTTCTAAAATCACAGTGTGGTCCTTACTGGTACTGTCAGCATAGACCAGTGACAGCAAACCTTTTAAAGTTTTCAGTGATACAAACAGCCTCCTGTGGCACATGTCTATAGGTTTGCCACGTCTGGCACAGAATGGCACATGAGTGAGGCTAAAGGCAGACAGAAAGGAAAATCAAGGGTAGGATTTAATATAAGGTGAGACAATGTAAGATAATGCAGGCGCAACTCTTTGCAGTAGAGGTTCTACTGGCAGCAGGACTCACACCTTCAGTTGTGTTTTCTATGCAGTAAGCAAGCACGTATTTGATATCTACTATGTGCAAGGCCTAACTCTAAGCACTTCACATGTACTTAATCCATTTACTTATTTACTTGCTTCTCTATAGTGAAGATTACTGTTATCTTGATTAACAAATGAGTGTTTGTATAATATTGAGCATCATAGTAACTTTCTTGAAGTTATGCAGCAGGTAAGCCGCAGAAGCCTCTATTTCTAAATGCTCCACCATTGTCTTTCTCTCTAAATTGATTTCTTACAACATTTTGTTCCAGTCGCAACCATTTTTCCTGAGAAATGGGTTTGCCTTTTTTTGGCAGCCTGAGCCACAGGCCTGCTCAATCTTGCCCCTTTAGGATTAATACTTTACAAAGTAAGAAAATTATCCTTTTGGCTCTCAAAATTGTTGGAAATCATATTTTTTTATTGCTTATTCATGGTGTTTTGTGTGAAAATATCTTTAAATTTTTTAATACAATCTAATCTACCATTTTTTCTTCTTTTTTAAGAGTACAAATTAGATTTAATACAGAAAAAATTATAAGTGATAAAGAATTTTGCTTAAAAAAGTAATATGTTAGTCCTTGAGATCCTGCTTTCCTTTTCACTTGTATTATACCTTTCTACTTGTATTTCTTCTTTTGAGTTCTTATACTAGGGAGACTATACGATATTTACACATGTGTGTCTGGTTTATTTCACTTACGAGTATTAGTTCA